GAAGCGGTCCCTTTTTTTCCTGTTTGTGTAGAAGTTGTAGAAACTCATATTAAATATTTACAAACAAGCATGGTCTTAGTTAGTGTTGTTAAACAGCATGGACAATCAAAGAAAAAAATAGAATGAAAATAAAATACATGTACAATTTTGAGTTAAATTGAAGGGAGTGCTTATTTAAAATAATAATAATAATAGATAGCATTTGTATAGCGCATATCCCCGCTCAGCAGCAGGCTCTATGCGCTTTACACTATATTATTACCCCAGCAGACCATAGAACACTCCGAAACATTCTCAGCTTCCCGGGAAGCATACAGTGCAAGCAGCCGATTAAGCGCTCAAACACTAACAAACTGACAAGATCTTTCGTTGTCTATAGCCGGGTACCCATTCCCACCTGGGTGAAGTGAGGAAAATTCGTGTAAAGTGCCTTTCCCAAGGACACAACGTCGGGCCCTTGACAGGATTCGAACCCACGACCTTACGGTTGCGAGTCCGAGAGCCTAACCACTAGGCCACCGACGCCACTAATATACCCCCCCCCCCTCTAACATTATTTAGGCCACCTATATGGTTTCCCCCTCCCCAGAACATTATTTAGGCCACATATATGCTCAAACTACCCTTTTCACGCAACTGAGTTCGTTCCACTTTCATAATGGAGCACCTTTCTCATTTAGTACAGTTTTGTCTCAGTGTACAACTTATAAATCATTATCATAATGAAAATTGTAAAAGCAACGCACAATACGCCAAATTTTGCTCAATCTCAATGGTTTGAATGAGGGCCAGATTTTCCCTTCATGGAGGGGCAAAAGTTAGGCTACCATTTTGGCACACTTTGGTCAAGTGAAAAGGTCATACCGGTATCCTCCGTATGGACTTCCGGGTCGAATTTGGGGTTATAAAAAGTGTGTACACAACGTGGCTGTGTCAAAGTTACACTATCTTTGCCTGAGTGGCACTCTCTCGTACTGTCTCGTAGTAGTACATGTAGTAGAAGTAGCAAAGATCGCGTAATGTAGAGAATCTTTGGTAGTAGATCTAGTTACAGGCAATTAAGTGAACGTGCACGCGGCAGGGCGAATCGGCCTCGATACGCCCCGCAGACTTTTGTGATCGGCCTCGAAGCCTCGTGTTTTGATGGGCTTAAACAACTCAGTGTTAATGGCACTGCCACATCCTACAGGCCTACATCTCTTTAAAAGGAAAGAAAAGATCATCAAAATGGTTGTATTCGCGTGAAAATCGATTCGGTAGAACTGGAGATATTAAAATTTGCTCCTGAAAACAAGGCAATTTTTACAACGCAATGAGATAAAAACCACTAGCTGTGTTATTCTGTATATAGATTATGAAACTTCAGGACGTATTATTATTTTCCAACATCTTTTGATGCCTGAGCTGCTAGACCTAACTTATTGCTTATATATGCCTTTGGGCTTTGGAATTGAAATTAAAACGAATTGCACAGTTCTAGTTAATTTTAGATTCAGCATCTAACTATATTTCCAGAGTTAATAATAATCTCATCATAACAATCACTTTTACTTTTATTAGAATAATTCGATCCAAAAATTCTAAAACCTGTTTTGCGCAAACTTAAGATTTTCTTTACTAGTAGACCACCGAGTTTAAATTGTAAACCTCTGCCCAGTCTTTCAGTATACATAATAAAATACATATAATCATTTTGTTATTTTCTGGATATTTTAAAAACTCAAATTATCAAATTGTGCCATATTTCGTTGATAATAAAAATAGCATTAGCAGTGGACTTTTTAGACAGCGAGTCTGTGATTCAATATTTAAAAAAAATTTATGCTAATCAATGAACATTGCTAATTGATAATAGTCCTGTGGAGGATAGGTGGACCCCTCGGTCTGCATAGCGAAATACTAGGTTTTAGGATGTGAACCCCGGAGTCACCATATAGTAAAATAAGTAGGTTTAGTTTAAGTAGGGATTGGTTGACCCCGGGGTCAAGGTAGTGATAAATAAGCAGGTTTAAGGTGGACCCCAGGGCCCGGGTCTACCAAGCGAAATACTAGGTTTTAGGACAGGTGGACCGCGGGGTCACGTAGTGAAATAATAATAATAATAATAATAATAATAATAATAATAATAATAATAATGATGATAATAATAATAATAATAATAATAATAATAATAATGATAATAATAATAATAATAATAATAATAATAATATGGCTCTTTTCGTCTATGCAGACTTCCAATTTAGCTTAAGATGGTCTCAAGGTTGTCTTCATGCAACTTCTTTCATGGCTAATTCTTCCTATGTTTGAAGCGCAGATTCTGTGGCAGTGCTTGCATGTCAGTGACGTAGATCGAGGCTCTGTTTTTCCACTGTTTTCCTTTCGTCGTTGGCGCTTCTCAGCCTGGTTGTTTCTAAGGCTGTTCTCTAGCATTTTAGTTCTTTCCTTTATAATTTTCCTCCTTGTTTTCCGGACCTCAGCTATTTCTTCCCAGATGTTAAAATCTACTCCAAGCTTAGATAAGCTGTTTTTGCAGTTGTCTTTGTACCTCAATTTTGGTCTTCCTCTTTGTCTCTTTCCCCGGGCGAGTTCTCCGTAGAGAAGTTGCTTCGGAATCCGGTTGTCATCCATTCTCTTGACATGGCCAAGCCATCTCAATCTTTTTAAACACAGGATAGTTGTCATGCTCTGGAGGTTTGTCTGTTCCAATACTTCAATATTTGTAACCTTGTCACGCCACGAAATGCCTAAGATCTTGCGGCAGCATCTGAGATGGAAAATGTCGAGGCGCTTTTCTTGTCTGCTGTACAAGGTCCATGTTTCAGATCCATAAAGGAGTGTGCTGAGGACACATGCTTCGTAAATCTTGATCTTTGTTTTGATGGTTAATCTTTTGTTTTCCCATGCTCGTTTTGTCAGCCTTCCAAAAGTTGTGGCTGCTTTCCCTATCCTGATGTTGATCTCATAATCAAGTGATATTGTAGAGCTGATGGTAGACCCCAGGTAACAGAACTTGTCCACTGTCTTAAGTTCTTTGTCGTTCAGCCATATATGGCTCTGCTCTGCACCTTCTTGGGTAAGGATGACTGTTTTTTTAACACTGATGACCAAGCTAAAGACCTTGCACGTTGTTGATAGGCGGTCCATCATTGTTTGTAGGGTTGATTCACTGTGAGCAACAAGAGCAGCATCATCGGCGAAGAGAAGGTCTCGTACTGTTGTTTTGTTAATCTTGGTCTTGGCCTTGAGTCGAGCAAGATTGAAGAGCGACCCATCAGTTCTCCAGTGGAGGAAGACATCCCCTGGTGACTCCTGGAATGCGTATTGCAGTAAGACAGCAAAATAAGTGCTAAAAGGGTTGGTGTTAAGACACAACCTTGCTTTACTCCACAATTGATGTTGAAACTGTTTGATGTTGAACCGTCAAACTGAATGGTGGCTTTCATATCTTCGTGGAATGAGATGATGAGCTGTAGTAGTATTGGTTGACAGCCAATTTTTCCAAGCACCATGTAAAGTCCTGATCTACTGACTGTATCAAAAGCCTTTGTCAGATCGACGAACGCAGTATGTAATGGCAGTCGTTGCTCCCTGCATTTTTCTTGTAGCTGACGAATAGAAAAGATCATGTCCATTGTTGAGCGGTTTGATCTAAAACCGCATTGGCTCTCTGGTAGGACTCTTTCTGCTAGTTTCTGAAGTCGCTTCAGGATGATCCTAGCGAAAGCTTTTCCTGTGATGCTTAGCAGTGAGATACCTCTGTAGTTGTTGCAATCTCCTTTGTCCCCTTTGTTTTTGTAATAATAATAATAATAATAATAATGATAATAATAATAATAATAATAATAATAATAATAATAATAATAATAATAATAATAATAATAATAATAATCTTACTACTAATGGAGCTAAGGCCAAATTTTGCGAACAGTATATTCTCAAAAACTACCAAATGAAAAAATATGAAACTTTGTCAGTACCTATAACTTGAAACGTAGTGTTGCACTATTGTATTTTCATTGAAATCAAATGTGTAAGAAGAAAGCCCATTTTAAGTTAAATTCAGTCATTTTGTGACGATCGCCATCATTTGCTTCGACATTGTATATTCACTGCGGAGTGCCGACTGCGCCAAAGGATATTTTGTGTTCAGTTGTACATTAAGTGGGTTTACGGGAATTCCCGGTTTCGGTCTCACGCCTTTGACCGTCTTCTCACGGCGGGTTATTAAGCGCTCATAGAAGAAGAAAGAGGAGGAGGAGGAGGAGGAGGAGGAGGAGGAGGAGGAGGAGGAGGAGGAGGAGGAGGAGGAGGAGGAGGAAGAGGAGGTGTAGGTGTAGAAGAAGAAGAAGAAGAAGAAGAAGAAGAAGAAGAAGAAGAAGAAGAAGAAGAAGAAGAAGAAGAAGAAGAAGAAGAAGAAGAAGAAGAAGAAGAAGAAGAAGAACAACAACAACAACAACAACAACAACAATGCTGTGCATTATAGATTCTAATATCTAGATCTAGGATAGATCTAGATCTATATGTGAATCTTAGATCGAGATCATGAATGATGAAAGTATTGAATGTGAATTTTTTTCTGCTGTGAGTAGATCTAGAGTCTAGAACTAGGCTGTCGGTGAATCTAGATCGAGATCAAGAATCATTAAAGTATTCTTAAAAGTGGATGTTTCATGCTGTGAATAGATCTAGAAATCGAGGCCATCTGTGAAGCCTGTCGGTTGTTTAAAATGTGAATTTCTAAACTTAGATCTATCTATGGGTCTAGGCTCCTTCTTTCAATTATTGGCCTATGTCTATACAATCCTTCGAGATCTAGGCTAGATCCAGAATTTAGATTAGGTTCTTCTAGGTAGCAACAATTGGGATGTAGGCCTCACTCTCTTTTTTAAAAAAAGTGTTTGAGCTGGAACTTTAGGAGAAAATGCCACGCTTTCGAAGAGGGAGAAGAAGTCTTACCCCTGGAGGTAGTCAACATAGGGTGCTACATGGATCAATTCAAG